AAACTAAAACTTTTCACAGTAACTTTCATTAAGAAAAACTCATCATACAATGTCAAAAAGGGAATAAATCATAATTCAAAAATAAATTAGATCTGCCATACTTCATATTGTAAGTTCATAAATTTTCGATGCTTTTCAAATGTAGATATAGATCTTTCGTATCTTTTCTTTAGGTAAGTTAACATCATTCTAATATTTAAAAAAAAATAGTTAATTTTACGGATAAACTAATTCTTCAAACATTTATTATTTCTTTTAACATATTTAATTTTTTATTTTCATTTCGCACGAGCTCTTTTGCTAGCGAATAAGAAATTATGAAGAGAGACGGAACCATCTATTCAAATTTAACATTAAGCAACAAAAGCTATTAAGTAAGAGAGTGCGTTGAAGAGCTCTCGTATGTGATTTATGTAGACTTGCTCGAAAGTTTAGGCAAATTCTATAATTCCATGGTCTCTTTTGCGGATAATCATACGTGGGTCATTTACATAATTCATTTTCGATAAAACAACAAGCATCGTTAAATCAAGCTATTAGAATCCAACTCGCAACCTGTTATGCAGATTTTTGAGTAAGATTCTTAACAAATTGGTCATATAAATTGCATCTAATGTTGGGAAATTATTAAACACTTAAAAAATTTGATTAATAGCTACAAATTACTGTTGTTTACTTGCCAAAATTTACTAATAACTGAAAAGAGAAATTGAAAACATACAGATGAGTGTGAAAAATTACGTGTTGTTATATATTTTAATTTAGTTAAGATGTTTGTTGATTACTAACTGATCGGATAGATTTAAATCAATTTCAAGTTAAGAAATTACTTTAAAAAGTCTAGAAAATTACAAATTGCTTATAGGATCGAACTTACTTTCGTAATCATATATGAAAGTAATTTTCCTACATATCAATGTAAACTTTCAATGTGCTTAGTAGCGTTTAATATAAGAAGTGACAAATTATATCCCAGTAAGTTTTTATTTACTAATAATATCCTCAAAAGGATCGGTAATGTTATTTTACATCGAAGAGGTTTTCAATGTGCTTAGTAAATTTTCACATAGAAAAAATATGTAATTAAGTCAGTACCTTTTCATCTACTGACAACGTATATATGCGGTTAGTGATTTTCGTATACATCAAAATAACTCTGGATATGCATAGCAACGTTTTCTATAATAAACTAATAAATTTTACGGATTAGAACATTCATTAGACTTGGCAAACATTTGATATAGAAAAGTATCAAAATCAATGTGGATAGTAACTTTCCATTTACTGATAAATTTAAAGGATAAATATACTCAAAATCTTAAAACTTGTCATGAAAGTGCAATCGAGTCCTAAAACTTTCAAAAAGTATAATCAAGTCGTAAAACTTGTTAAATTAGTATAATCAAGTCTTTCTGTTAATTGCATTTTTTAAGGTTTTAGGATTCGATTGCACTTTCGTGACTAGTCTCAGGACTCGATTGCACTTTTTCGAAAGTTTTAGGATTCGATCGCACTTTCGCCACAAGTATTAAGATTCAATTGTACTTTTTTTGAAAGTTTCGGTACTCAATTGTACTTTCGTGATAAATTTTAGGGAAAAAATCACCAAAAACCCCAAACTTTTCCACTTATGACATATTTACCCCGAACTTTTTTTCGTGACACCAAAAACCCCAAACTTTGTTATTTGTGACACATTTACCCCAATATACATTGTCCATGGGCATTTTCGTCTTTTTAGCTTTTTCTTTTTACTTTTTTTTTCTTTCCGGCTAGGGCCCCTCGCTGGATCCGGCGAGGGCCGCCCTCGTCGGCGTCGGGCGAGGCTCGCCCTCGCTCGCCCACGTGAGGGCGAGCCTCGCCCTCCCTCGCCCAGGGAGGGCGAGGCTCGCCCGACGCCGGCGAGGCTCGCCCTCGCTCGTCCAAGCGAGGGCGAGGCTCGCCCGACGCCGGCGAGAGCGGCCCTCGCCGGAAAAAAAAAAAGTAAAAAGAAAAAGAAAAAGCTAAAAAGACGAAAATGCCCATGGACAATGTATATTGGGGTAAATGTGTCACAAATAACAAAGTTTGGGGTTTTTAGTGGTTTTTTCCCTAAATTTTAAGACTTTCAAGTTTCCATCGCTTATCCCTAATTTTAATAAGTGATTGGTGATTCTTTATCGAAAAAACTCCATACTTTTGGATATATATCTTATTTATGACGTCATCTTTCGCAGTAGCTGACAGAGAGAATCCGATTCTTCTTCCTCTTTCGACCACCTTCAATCCACTCGGACTTCCCCTCTGTCATCCCCTCTCTCTCTCTCTCTCTCTCTCTCTCTCGTTTTTTCTTCCCGAAGAAAAGGAAGAATCTTTCATGGCGGATCAGGCCAGGCAAGCGGAGCTGTTCGAGCTCGACAATGGGACCATGCAGGTGAAGATCACCAACCTCGGCTGCACCATCACCTCGCTCTGCGTTCCGGGCAAAGACGGTCCGTCGCGTGATCGATCGTGTTTCCTGTTCGTGGTCGGAGTCGAATCTTTCCGAGCCTGAAATGGTTGCTGATAACTCGATCGTGTCTGTTCTTTTTTCGTTGCTTTCAGGGAAATCGGCTGATGTGGTTCTGGGTTTCGACTCCGTCGAACCGTATCTGGTGAGAAAGTTCATGGCTTTCTGCCTACATGATCGTTGATTATTGCTCCTGTGCTTGTGGAGATGTTTCGGGTGATCATGCATTTTCGTTTTCTTCACTTCCGTGACTGTTAAATCTGCTGAAAAATTCGTACTTTTATAGCAATTGAGCTGTTTTCATTGATTTTGGTGGTGATTGGACTTGGGAAGACTTGGTTGATGGACACATTTGTGGATCGATTTGTGTGTTTTTGTGCGCGCGCAGAAAGGTGCCGCGCCGTTCTTCGGCTGCATTGTGGGGCGGGTCGCGAACAGGATAAAGGAGGGCAAGTTCACCCTCAATGGCATTGAATACTCTTTGCCTATCAACAAGTCCCCAAACAGTCTTCATGGTATGAATTGCTAATGATCAGTATAGTTTCAATGTCGATGTTGCTCGAGCTGACGAGATCATACTAAATGACGTGGCGAGTGAATTAGTCGTCTTTGTGATCGTCGGCCTTCTGTATGTGTTTGACTATTGATCTGCTGCGTAAATGCCTTCTCTATGTTCTCCCTTTGGCATCTGCTGTGTATCTGTTTCGTCTAAATAGGTGGTGTCGGGAATCAAATTGTGCAAGAGAGTTCTTGAACGTGATTTAATCATACTTTGACCATGCTGAACATCCTGCCTCTGTGGAAGCCTGAGGATTTGTAGCACTTCAGTTTAAATTTGAGGCTTGGCTTATCAAGTATTGAGGGAATTTTATGTCCTTTTCCCCTGAATTGAAATTACACTGGGGAAAGTGTTCTTACTTATGATTTAATCACCTCAGCTGTATTTGTATTGTAACTCATGTGAACTGCTTCTGACAAAAGAAGGGAACCACGTTTTTACTTGTTTCCAACCATCAGACACAGAGCACACACACAAGCACATTAAGCAGAAGAACATTTCGAGGAAAATAAGTACTGCTCAATAATTATGAGATCCACGAAGAATTTTGCCTTTTCCAGTTAGTGTTGGTGACAAGTGGTCTACTTTCTTAGAACAAAAAGTATGTATATCTGGAGCAACCTAATTCTTCAAAATGTCAATCTGATAATAGCCTTCTGAATTTTTTGGTGTTACTTAGGTGGGCACAAGGGTTTTGATAAGGTGATATGGGAGGTAGCTGATTATAAGAAAGGAGAAAATCCTTCCATTACCTTCAAATATCACAGTCATGATGGGGAAGAAGGTCTCTCTCTCTCTCTCTCTCTCTCTCTCTCTCTCTCTCTCTCTCTCTCTCTCTCTCTCTCTCTCTCTCTCTCTCACACACACACACACACACACACACACACACACATGCGCACACCGGCATGCATGCTCATCAACACACCCATGCATTGGCACCAACACAGCTTTGATGCCTTGGGTTGCATGGTCATATGATTATAGGTTACCCGGGAGATGTTGCTGTAACTGCTACTTACACCCTAACTTCTAGTACAACCATGAGGCTCGACATGGAAGGCATGCCTAATAAGGCCACTCCAATCAGCTTGGCTCAGCATACCTACTGGAACTTAGCTGGTCACGATTCAGGAAACATACTCGACCACTCCATCCAGATATGGGCTAATCACATCACTCCCGTGGATCATAACACAATCCCAACAGGTGAAATCATGCCCATCAAAGGAACGGCTTTTGATTTCACGATGGAGAAGAAGATTGGCGCTTCGATCCATGAGGTGCCTGGTTTGGGGTATGACCACAACTATGTGCTGGACTGTGGGGAAGAAAAGTCGGGCCTAAAACATGCTGCCAAACTGAAGGACCCTTCAAGTTCTAGGGTTCTTGACTTATGGACCGATGCTCCGGGAATGCAGTTTTACACTGGAAATTACGTAAATGGAGTAGTCGGTAAAGGCGGTGCAGCATATGGCAAGCACTCTGGAGTGTGTTTGGAGACACAAGGATTTCCAAATGCCATCAACCAACCAAACTTTCCTTCTGTTGTTGTTCAACCTGGTGAGAAGTACAAGCACTCCATGCTTTTCGTGTTTTCAGTAGAGTGAAACATTGGGAAGGGGTTTATGTTAATAGGATGAGTTCTGAGCTTGTTTGCCTTCACCTAAGATAAATATCTTGATGGAAATGCAGTACCTCCATGAAGTAATAAGAATGACCAAGTGCTTTCATTTACATTATTCTCCGCTTTCTAGTGGAATGCTCGAATTTTTAAGCACTTGTACTTTCTCTTTTCAGTTTTGGTTTTTAGCGGTTTTCATTGCTGTTACAGATTAGACAGCATTGGTTTGGACACAATGGTTATTCTTGCTGTCTCTGTATACGTTGCATCAACTCCACCATGGAAAGGATATATATGTCAATGCATCTTCTCTATTTACACAAGTAAATGAATTTACCTTGAAACGTACTATCTAATCCGAGTATAAATGGTAAATGGTCTACAATTCTTTAGCATATGGACGAGCAGTCATCAACCTACAATAAACATTCCGAAAGGCCAAAACAGTAAAAATCCAACACTTCGAAGAATGACAGACATTAGAGTCTGAGTTGTTGCCTCCAAATATCCAAGAGGACATAACATGACAAACTTCGTCATTCTGTTTATATCCAGTAGTAAAAAAACCTTTCGACAGTGCAGACATTGCCATCAAGATTGTGACCAGATTCCACCAACAGTCGTGCATGACAACAATCTGAATCAACGGTGAACGACTGCCCGAATGATTGCTGATACAAAAAAATTCTCTGAAGAAAGTACAGACATTAAAGTCTGAGTTGTTGCCTCCACGCTAATTCTCATCTGGTGCGAACCAGTTCAAGTGGTAGAGTTTCCATTGCCATCTAAGATTGACAAAAGGGAGCATTTTTCAAGATAGAGCTCAAGATACAGCAGATAAAACTAAAACAACCCGTTTTCATACCCACAGCCTAGGAGTTCTGGGATCAGACTTGGCCTGCATCTTCAATAGCTCTGACTGAAAGGTAATAACTATGGCAACTTTGAACTCGATTGAAAATGGTCTGTTTGGAAGATGCAATTTAATAGAAAGTCAACAGCAGTAGTAGCTTCCACTGGTCCATAGCAATTGATAGAAAAGGAAAAGAACAAACAACAACTGCAGATGAATTTTCCAAAGCTGCATGAGAAATGGAAAACAGAAGCCTGACATACATCTATGGTCACAGGGGAAACTAAGTAATCAATAATGTCTTCAAGCACAGAGCATTTCAGAAGGTTGTGCAGTGGTCTCTCAGGGATTTCATTCCAAGCCTTTGAAAGAAAGGTCCAAGCATTCTCTGTTTGTGTGCTTATGTTGGGGGCCGAGGGGCTGGGTGTCGGATGCTCATCCATTCAATAAGTGAAGCTCAATGCAGTCAATCAATCTACTTAAAGCTGAGGTTGCTGCATATTTCCTGATTTAACTACAAGGACTGACTGTGGATATAGATCTTTATCTACAAAAGAAAAGTCTCCATTACTTGCTCTGGATATTTGAAAAAAAAAATTGAAATTGAACCTAATAAGAGTGTTGAAAGCAAGATTAACCTGTTTGGTTCACTATAACGCTAATGCTCAATTGTTGTAGAGTTCTCCAATATATTAGATTAATTGTCTAAAGACTGAAGGGACCTAAGGTAAGAATACACAATCACTGTTAAGCTGTTGAGTTTCACTACACATACTTAGGCAGAAAAAGAATGAGACACAAGAGTGGTGGCAATGTGAATCAGGCAACTCACCCAGCCAAGGTCGTTGGACAAGTTAAAAGGCGAGGAAGAATAACGTAAATGGGCAACATCATACGCCTAGAAACATCTCCATCTGCTATCTAGTACATGTAGAAGGACATTGTTAGGGAAGATTTTGATCCAAACATATACATCTATTTAGTCAAAAATTTTGCACACCTGAGTTGTTTGTACCAAGGACGTTTCAGTCACAATTCTATCTCCAAAAAGAATCGACTCAATTCGAAGTATGTGTATGTCAACAGAGTGAATTGGAACTGCAGATGTTTCCACAATAAGCTCTCCACTAATTGGATCCGGCAGAGCACACTGAACAGAAAACTTTCCAGTCACTCGAAAACCACCTGTACATCATCATCTTCCTCGTAAGAAGTTGGATCAGGCGGATGTATATTTGCTTTAGATATAAACAGCAGCAAAACCAATGAGGTCTTTACAGTTGATTGTAGCAGGACTTGCCCATTCTGTCGCTTTTCATCCAAAAGTGCATGAGCAAATAAAACAGTGTAGTACAATGCTCTATCGGACCGATTGACTATAGTTTAGAATTATGCTAAGAGACACTGAAAGATAGATACATACAGAAGCTTGCCTGATTTCAACTCCGGAAGCAATGGATGTCTTTGGGTATCCTGAGTAATGTAAAAGATAACCATCTCAGGAGAAGCTGGTTGATCAAGAAGCTCAGCTGAAAAAATTAACAGATGAAGCACTGGATTAGATCCTACCCGTAAGTTATCATTGCCAGAACTGATTTAGAATCAATGAGGAAGCATGTCATACCCTTATCAGTTTCTAAAATGAACTCCATTGTGGTACATAAGGATTTGTGCAGATACCCTCTTGTTACATCTGCAGTTAGCAAGTACTGTAACAGATTTAATGAATATCAACCATGAAAGTAGTCTCTAGAATCAGTCAGAAATAAAACATTTCCAGAAGGGGAAATGAGAAATCCGATAACTAAATGGTCCAGAAGAAGGGAGCCAAGTGCAAGCTTGCATTTTCTGTGGTTGCCTATCCTTTACCATTTTTCACTTTGTGCCAACTGTACTTTAGAACTCATTCATGGAAAGACATGATGCATATATAGCATTAACTTATCGTGTCTACCAAATTTTAAAAGCTCGTAAGATTACTACGACAAATAAAGAGGGCACATCAGCATCTGATCAAGCTCATCAATCACCTTCATTGAATAAATATCAAATTTTTTTTTAATCTTATGATCCATTACCCGTGCTCATACATCAAGCATCTAATCCTATTATCTATTAACCAACCCCGAAGACTGCAAAGGGCCACCATCTAATTTCAGGTTAGCACAGAGAATTACTTATTTGGACAGACACGTTGTGCCTTAATGGTGATTCAGGCCAAGATGAACACGGAACAATAATGATCCAGAACTTCATTCCCTAACAAGTTGTTTAAATCTAAAGATCATCAAGATATTTTCCGACCAACATAACTTGCATGGATTTTATGCTTGTACCCAAATTAGGATCAAAACAACATCTTATATAGTTCGTATTCATAAGCAAACAAACATGAAAAATAACCATTCAAAATACAATAGACAAGACGAAGAACTTCAGAAATTCAACACGTCTATTCATGAAAGACTTAAATATGGAAGTCTTTCTTTCAAGAAAGTTAGCACTCATATGATGAAAATTAGACAAATACAATGAAATTTTAATAGAAATATAAATCTCTTTTAGAAAAATAACCAATTTGGCATTTTCTAGCCTTTCGTCAAACGAGAAAAAATATTCATGTCCACAGCGGCTCCAACCAGGATTACATCCCTCGCTTTTGGGTAGAAGCAAATAATTCTAAATAACATATCTATCTACAAATAAGATACAACAGTTACACAACGCACAAGTCATACAGAAGCCGTCTATAAAAATCAAATGGAATCTGCAACTGATAGCTGTTCCATAGTATATCAAATATGATCAGGTACACGATCAAATTATTCACCTGGATATTGATATTAGCTCCATGAAAGGTCTCATAAAATCTTTCACGAGTGTCATCTCCTGATTGTTTCAGAGTTACAGAAAAAGGTATCTGCCATGAACAACACAGAACTAAGTTGAAGGCTTCAAGAATTTCGTTTCATAAGTCGAATCTGATAAAGGTAAAAACAAGGACAACTATATGGCCCAACAATGAAAGCACGTAAGCAGTGGGAAATACTGGGTTATTTGCACTCTGCTAATATATTAGCATAAGACATCAATACAATAGGAAAACCTATTCCAATATTAATATATCAGCAGTAGCAAACTCCAAAAAACCGTGTTGTGTTGTTCTCAAAGACTCATATCCAATTAAGAAAATAGAGCAAAGAATAGAAAAAAGCTCCGCGTGTTATAGTAACGAATATGACAAGTTTGCAACATTGTCCTTAACGAAGAGGCTGCAGTCAATTTCGAAGTAATAAAGGCATCAATACCCGTGAACTTAAGATTACTTCTATCAAGAGATAGAGATTATATTTGTATTTGGAAGACATTAACCATTCATCAAGTAAGTTGCAATGATATGGAAACACTAATCAGCTCGCTCTTTTCAAACAAAAAGACATTGCATACATGTAAACCTTTTTGCATATCACTACCTCTGTTGTACCTGGCGCAATCCTCCCAGAAGGCGTCACTTCAATTATCCTATTCCTGTTCAAAAAGATCACATAGAACAGCAAAAAGAAGGTTATGTAGACAGCATTTATGCTTTGTATCGCAATTGGATAGCCATGAAAAGCATTTTTACACAAGGAAGTTACATTCTACAAGAATCAAACATTTCCGTATGAGATAAAGTCGAGCCACATGGACTCCCCATCTCTGCTACGAACCTAAGAAAAGCAGGTTTTTACTCTTTAAATACTCTAAACATCCAAAGAGAAGCAATTTCATATGCTCCCGATTTAAATGCGGGCAAATACGCAAAACCAGAAGCAGAAAAAAACTTGCAGTGATTTGCCCACGAATCAACTCTGTAAGGTTAGTCAAAATTAATGAGGAAAGAAGCGTATGAACTTGGTTTCAAGGTCCTAAAAGCAAACACGAGGAACGAACAGACAAGACCGTTCACTTTGGCAAAAACAAAACCTCGCACGGAATTTTACGACCTTTGTAGAGATTTCTTAGCACTAGCCTTGGTTCCAAACAGAGAAAAACGACAGCGAACTTAGAGAAATGCAAAAGGGAAGCGTGCATACACGATCACGACAGGCTTGACAGCACCAACGATCGACTCGATAAGTCCTGCAGTTCCTCCGCGAACCTGAAAACGAGGAGGTCAAAGAACGATGAGCATCACCACAATCATCACCGATTTCTACCGAGCCTTCGCTAAATTGACCTGAGAATTCGATTCTCACAGCAATCAGGCAGAGAGAGAGAGAGAGAGTAGAAGAAGAACGGTTTTGAGGCACCTGCATGTTGACGGAGCCGTTGACGGCGAGGCGGACGCCGCGGTGAGAGATGGAGGAAGCGGACTTCACGACGATCTTGCCTTCGAGAGGTTCCTGTAGATTCCGTCAAGGTCCGATCGTGATTCCGACGAAGAATCGAACAGTGTGCACAGAGAGAGAGAGAGAGAGAGAGAGAGAGAGAGGTGTACGGAAGGGCGATAGATGCGGCTCGGCCGAGAAAGCTTGATCTCGAGGGTGGCAGACGACATCGCGAGCTCCGGCGACGCGGCGAGAAATGGCGGTCCGGCGTGGATGGCGGCGGCGGCGGCGGCGGCGGTGGTGGTGGAGGACTCGGGGACTAGCGCTAATGGAAGCGGAAACGACGGCGTTTCGCACGATTAGGAAGGACGTTGCTGTTGATGCTTCTGATCTTAAAACCTGTTTCTTTGGACGATCCATCCGATCGAAACTTTAGTATTTGACAAAATCGACAAATTACAGTAAAAAATTCGTCAGTTTGCATGGACTATGCGGGGGAGATGCGCATTAGTCATTTAAAAAATATTTTTTAAAAGATGATTGCTTATATTCTTTAAAAAAATTAGTCAATGAAAAATATTCTCATCATCGATAACAATCTATGCCTAATTATTTTCGTGGACAATAATTTTTTTTTCATTTATTTATTTTTATAAGCGATTCAAGTAATTATTTTTGAAATATATTTTCTAAATCACTCATTTTTTGCGAAACGAACGCACCAATAATCTGAATTTAAACCCACCCATCGGTGGCCGCCTTGGTTTGCACTCAGTTCTTTTCACGAGAGATCCTGGTTCAAACTCGCCCATCAGTGATTTAAGTGGGGGGTCGTGGCGGTGGGATGCTGCGCTAGCCTCCCTCGAGGACTAGCCGGGCATCACCGCTGGTTTGAGCCCTAGCTCGCCGGCCGCGCGGACACCTCGGTTATAAAAAAATAATAATAATCAAAATTTAAATTGCACCGACCTTATCTAATCAGGTAAGATCAATTTTTAGGTAGAGGGAATCGGCCTTAAACCCAGTTTGGATCCCGCTTTTATATTGTGAATCATTGATTCTACTCAAGAACCAGCTTGAATCAGTTTTCAGCTTTTTTATTCCTATTTTTTACTTCGATGAACATGTGAATTTGGGAAACTTGGGATATTCATCAATGCGTTAACCACCGTCGAAATGTTTTCCTAAAATAATAAACACGTTACTTAAAATAACCTTAGATTGTAGAGTCAACGCTAGAATAGAATGGTTCGATTCCATGCCGATTCTTGGTTTCACAATCAAGAATCGATTAACAATTCATATTCGAAGTTCTTCATCTGAAATCTATCTATAGAACGGAGTACCATTCTTTTGGCATTGCCGTAAAAGTCTCGCGCCCTCTTTAAAATGTTCATTTTTAACCATGATTTGTACCATTCACGATCGAAAGATTTGACAAGTTTACACCTAATCCCACTAAAATGCCGACAGCTCGAAAGTCTCTTCAGATGAAATATGTTGCAGTTAGGCGACTCAGCACAAACTGTTCGAAACTTCATTTGTAATAAGAATTGAACTCGTGACCTCACGAAGTACACGCACTGCACATCAAGTATAAAATCATCTGATCACTTGTTTGAAAAAAAATTACAGGTATATGCTAAACAAGATCTGTTAATTCAATGCACGAAATCATGCAATTTCGGGTCGGCCTCCTTATTATTTGTCGGCCCGTTGACGCAATAGCCGGTCGCGACGAAACCCGGTCTCCCACGCGGCAGAACCTCATTGGCCAGATTCCGATAACTGACGTGGCCTCACTGCAACAGATTATACGCACAAACACACACCCCTAAATTTCCCATTGAACCCCTCTCTTCACCGTCGACGACGACGACGACGACGACGACCTCCGCCATCACCGCCGCCCTCCCCGAAGAATCCCGCCGCCGCACCACCTCCTCCGCCGCTCCGGCCGCCCTCCCATCCCGACCACCACCATGCGCGATCCGGGTCGCAACCTCCTCGCCCCCATCCTCCTCCTCGTCATCTCTCTCCACCCGCTCTCCCTCGCCGCCCGCCCCTTCTTCCTCATCCTCTCCCAGGACGACCTGAAGGAGGCCTCCGCCGCCGCCCCCCCGGACGAGCTCGTCGACTCCGCCGACTGGGACGAGTTCGGCGACTCCGAGTCCCGCCCCGAGGAGGAGCTCGATCCGGGCTCGTGGCGCCCGATGTTCGAGCCCGACGGCGGCGATCCCCTCCCCCCCGCCGCCGGCGGATCCGCGCCGGAGGAGCTCTACTACTCCGGCGTGTCGAAGATGATGGCCGCCGCCAGCTCCGGCGAGGGGCGGCTGATGGAGGAGGCCGTGTCGGAGTTCGAGGACGGCGCCGCCGCGGGCTACGCGCACGCGCAGTCGGCGCTAGGGTTCCTGTACGGGATGGGGCAGATGAGGGATCGGAGCAAGGGCAAGGCGTTCTTGTACCACCATTTCGCCGCCGAGGGAGGGAATATGCAGTCTAAGATGGCGCTTGCTTACACCTACATGCGTCAAGATGTGAGTATAGAATTATATGTCGTTATCACCTATAAGCAGATGACCCATCGTTAATGTCAATTCAACAAAGACTTTCATTTGCATTAGCTGTAGATGGTGTTACTAATTTGACGTTAAAGGCTTATGGTGTCTTCATTTCAAAGAGTAGATTGCAAGTTGAGTTTGTTGTTTCGGACATGAGGCTGAGGTTGGCGGCTCGTAGTGTCTTGAGAGTTAGTTTAGTAGACCCTGTGAAAAATGGGCTTTCTATGGACAGGCGATTCGTAAGTTTTCCTTTGAATTTTCACTTCTATCGCATTCTGTTAGTTAGTAACCCTGGACTTCTGCTGGAAAATGAATTTGATTATCCGGGTGGTTTGGGAAGAATTTGGACACTGAAGGAAGTAGTAGTATTTGTTTTAAGATGGTTGTTATTTAACTCGATGAGCTGATCCTTATTGTAATGTGGTCACAGATGTATGATAAAGCAGTCAAGCTGTATGCCGAGTTAGCAGAGGTAGCTGTAAATAGCTTTTTAATCACGAAAGAGTCTCCTGTTATAGAACCAGTTAGGATTCACAACGGAGCTGAGGAGAATAAAGAAGCTCTGAGAAAGTCTCGAGGTGAGGACGACGAGGACTTCCAGATATTGGAGTACCAGGCGCAGAAGGGGAATGCGATCGCAATGTACAAAGTGGGGCTGTTCTATTATTTTGGCCTGAGAGGATTGAGGCGAGACCATAAGAAAGCATTGTTTTGGTTTCTAAAGGCTGTGGAGAAGGGCGAGCCAAGGTCAATGGAACTCCTTGGGGAGATATATGCTAGGGGAGCTGGAGTTGAGAGGAACTATACAAAGGCTTTTGAGTGGCTAAAGCTTGCCTCCCGGCAGCAGCTTTACTCGGCTTATAATGGAATGGGCTATCTATACGTCAAAGGTTACGGAGTGGAAAAGAAGAACTACACTAAGGTAAATTGGATCGATTGTTTCATAAGTGGATTCGTGTTAATGCTTCCATTATATGTGAAAATTGGATCTTGGTTACCCTTGGGAAAGATGTTACTATTTGGAAACACTAGTGTTACTGCCTTGTCTCATATCCCATGACTGCTTCGACTCTTGTTTCCTCAACACATTCGATGTAGTCAAGTTCTTCTCATTAACTCATTAGTTATTCTCTCTTGGATTACAATGTGGTTTGTTAATTTGAAGATTCTCTCTGTTATAACTAAATGTTCTTGGAAAGCACAATTTCATGAATTCCTGACTCGAGTCCTCTGACCCTTGACATTATGAACTTCCCATATGCCCCTTTTTATGTTTCCTTTAAATCGTCTTTCCTTTGTCAATTGGTGTCTGATTCTTGACTTAGCTACATTAGGATAATTGTAGCAGGTGCCAAGCAAATTTTTGTATGTCATCACTAGGATAAGTAGTTGGGGAGTTACTATTTGTTCGATGATGACAACATTTCGTGATTGTTTTCTTCTTCTTAATTCATGAAATCCTCATTCCTGTGACTTGATATTTCTTTCCGAGGCTTGTTCATTTAGTGCATTTGATTCGATTTGGACAATGAGACATCGCTTCATAAAGAATCAACTTCTGAGCACTAGGTTTTTCCTGTGTACATTCACAGTCCTTATCTGTAATGGTGTGATGAGATCAATTAGATAGTATTTGCCCCAGACTTAGAGTAATTCATTGCAGGCAAAGGAGTACTTTGAGAGGGCTGCTGAAAATGATGAGGCTGGTGGGCACTATAACCTGGGGGTAATGTATCTTAAAGGCATTGGGGTGACAAGAGACGTGATGGTAGCGTGCAAATACTTCATATCGGCTGCCAATGCAGGCCAACCAAAGGCATTCTACCAGCTAGCAAAAATGTTCCATACAGGTGTAGGGCTCAAGAAAAATCTTCCCATGGTAAAACAAAAATGCTTTAATTTGTGTGTTTGCAACTGTCTATCCATACATCATGCATCGATATGTATGTAATGTGTGTATCTTGTAAAATTTGTGGATATGCATCCATGTGTATCCTATCTTCACTTTTTGCTTAGTATTCCAAGAAGATTGCAAGGCCATACTAATCCTGATTCATATGTAAGGTAATATATCGAGCTGAATATTTGTAAGCTTAATTTTGTTTTCAGGCTACTACATTGTATAAGCTAGTTGCAGAGAGGGGACCATGGGGATCTTTGTCAAGATGGGCCCTTGAATCATATTTAAAGGGTGATGTGGGCAAGGCGTTCCTCTTGTACTCAAGGATGGCTGAGTTGGGCTATGAGGTGGCACAAAGTAATGCTGCATGGATTCTTGACAAGTATGGTGAGCGCAGCATGTGCATGGGGGAAGCAGGATTCTGCACAGATGCAGAACGACACCAACGATCACATTATTTATGGTGGCAAGCTTCTGAGCAAGGAAACGAGCATGCTGCTTTGCTGATCGGAGATGCATACTATTATGGACGGGTATGTATTTTCAATGGATTCACTATAGGAAAGAGAAAAGATAAGTTTTTCTTAAGTGGACTCTCTAACCTCTGGATGGAGTAGTTCAGGTCTACGGACTTGGATCTCACTTGAGTTGCCTCAGCTCTAATTGAGCCTAACTTTTTTTGTCCTCTCTTAGGGTACCGAAAGAGATTACGAACGTGCAGCAGAGGCTTACATGCATGCGAAATCCCAATCTAATACACAAGCCATGTTCAATCTTGGTTACATGCATGAACATGGCCAGGGTCTTCCTTTTGATCTTCATTTAGCAAAACGCTATTATGATCAAGCCCTTGAGAATGATCCCGCTGCAAAACTGCCTGTTACTCTGGCCCTCGCAAGCTTATGGATACGGAAGAATTATGCTGACAGCTTCCTGGTTATCTCTCTCTCTCTCTCTCTCACTTGAGTTTTACTGCTTCGAGGAGGATTTGTTGCACCTGTTTGCTCATAGCCAGGTTTGGCCCATCATTTTTATGTTCCATATCCATGGATGGATGTGAAGAATGGCATCTACCCAAGTTCATACTTCATTTTATGGTTTGTCCTACTTTTTCTACTGCTGCTATAAGCATGCCTTGACTCTGGATTCCACGGGAAAGTAACGAGGAAGACTTAAATCACCTCGTTGATTAACTTTGAAAAATAGTTTGGTATGAAAATCATACCTAGTGAACTAGTATGTGCTGATAGTTGATTAGGGAGACACAGCTAGCTGATTAATTAATGCTCCTCTTTTTCCGAGCATCTGAGTCCGAACAATTCATGACTGTTGGTTTTCTTTTCAGGTCAATTTTATTGATTCACTGCCTGAGGCTTATCCGAAGGTGGAAGAATGGGTAGATAATGTGATTTTGGAAGAAGGAAACGCCACAATACTCACGCTCTTTGTCTGTCTCCTTACGGTCTTGTATCTCCGCGAGCGGCAGCGCAGGCATGCCGCTGCAGCCGTTGGCGTGGTTGGAGGGCAACAGCAACCGATCGAACCTGTGGTGCCTGGACTCAATTAACTGCCCGTCGTCGTCGCGTCCATTTCCTGTTTCCATGAGGTTCACATTAACTCTCGAGGGGGCAACATGTGGGGGTTTTTCATGATGTTTGTATAGCTGATTGTTTTCCTTTTTGTTCATTTAATGGCAGCAATTTTTGTTTAATGAACACTGTAACATAGAGAGAGAGAGAGAGTAGGTAGGGAGAGGAAACTTACGAAATAAGAGTTGTCTTGTTCTTCTTCATGATTGACACAAATGTATTTATAGAGTATTCTCACAGTGCCAATTTCAGCAGTACAAGATAGAAAATGTCTTCCAGTTTCTGCCATTTTTCAGGGTTATAATGAGAATACGTGCTTTTTTGTTGACCCTTGTACTTTGAAACTTAAAAGTGCTGGCGATTTCAGGTTATGAAATCGCTTCAACTTTAAACTAAAAATGTATTTATCTTTCCAAAAAGATGAATTTTCTCAATCTCGAGTCTTTTTTTTGTCCTCCGACTCTCGGGAGAGCCCTCGCTTTTGTGTTGTCGTAATGCACGTGTAGAATTTCTCATCTTGCAATGACGGCAACCCGATATTGAATGACTTTAATACCAGTGTCGCAGGATTTTTAATCAACCTGTTAGTAAAAGCACAAGCACAAAATGCTTGAGATGCATCGAGAAATCGCCTGGTTATTAACATTGCCTCAACAATGAAGCCTCGACGAAGACTCGAAAGTCCATCCCAAAAGGAAGGAAAGAAAGGGGAATAAAACCCAAAAAGAGTATAATACATAGACACTGCTAATCCTGGGCATTAAGGGGTTCAGATATTTACATCTCTACATCTTTACTGTACTGTACTATATACTGAGTAAGATCGAGCCTTAACCCACCAGCTTAGTGTCGAAAATTCGATACCGACGGCTTCCCCAAACATCACTTTCATTAAGGTAGTAAGATTTGAGACAACAAAAGACCCAGGGTGGGTCTCTGTCCGTATACTCAGTTCCCTTGCTGTCGTCATCTTCATTTAATCCGAGTAGCTTGTTCATCCTCCTCTTCAAGACACAAGTAGAAGGACGGCCATCGAAAAACATTTCCTGCAAAGGAACGACAAGAAAATGGTTTCAAGTTCCATACACCTAGAGTTTAGACCAATTCATAGAACAAGATCAGGTAGCATAAACTAAGAATATGCCGGGTCATCGGGCAAAGAAAAAAATTCCATAAAGCTAAAGACCAAGGTTACAAGCAATTCCAGAACAGGAGTCTATTGATGTATACCTACTTCACCTTCTTTATGAAAAATTTTAATTTTCATTCTTTTGGGTCTGACCAAGTAGGATTGGTGTTTTATCCAGAGGAGATACTAAACATATAAAAGATTCTTGCTTTGTAAGGTGCTATGCCGTTGGGGTCAAAGTTATAGACCTAAATTGCAAAAGGATAAAAGGCCAAAAAGAAGGTAGCAGGAAATGCTCTGAAAACTCACTAGCAACATTAACCTATAAAAAAATGCAATCCTGGGAGTGGAAATCTCTTGTACTCTCCCTAAGTTAACTTTTTTCCTTTTTCCAGTCAAGCTCTCTGCACAAAGAGGTACTTCGACTGATTAAAAGATAACGAGGCCTACTTGTGAAGATAAAACCCTTAATTTTCTTCTCGGGCTAGTCAGTGAACCTTTCACTTACTATTGCTAATAGAAAGTGATAATCAAAATAGATGGCTACTAAAGAAATTCTGTTTCACTTCTTTATCATACCCCATCTTCAGCATACAGAAATGCATGTACTCGAGCAGTTGGATCTTCAATAGTCAGCCTAACCCTATATGTCCCAACAGGAGAGAGGAAGTTCTCAGCTTCGCATGGAAATGCTGCCACAACTCGTATCACACACTTAAACTTGGCAGTAACCTGGAAAGTATAAATTTCTTCTTCTTAGTATGAGTTTATGTTTTCCAAAATAACAATAAGTCTCAATTAGGTCTTCAAAGTGAGGAATAATTTCGAAGTCCCACAACAAAATCTCATCTAAAGATGTGCAGAAACTAACATGGAACTTGATCTAAATCTTTTTGCTCATCCATACTAGGTGAACTAGATAATTGGCAATTGGGGCTTCAAGTGCAAGGATCTGTTTTTTAAATTGATCTGTCGTGGGTAAGTGAGATGAGAAACTGAAGTGTTTCCATAAGAAGCTATTGAATTAGAATGTGACAACACAGGAAAAGTGCTGCATTGATAACTACATCATCACTCTAGGAAAACTGTTTAGCAAGATTACACTAGGTAGCATGATAAAAGGATATAATTAATCAATGGTTGAGGGCATGCTTAGAAGCAAGCATCTCATTATGTAGAATATGATAAATGATAAAAAAAAATCAGTAGACTACAAATCATTTCTCTTCAGATCAACACCCAATTTCTAACTTACGAGTCTGACTTGTCCTCACAGCATTTGCAGAGACTATAGCAGTCAGGTGTCACCTCAAAGTGACTTAAAAGATTCCGGGCCGCTTTGAAAGAATAATATCTTCAACGAGCAACATAATTCTTCAAGAGCACAGAACTTATAGAACTGCATAATTTACCTCAGGATAGGTGAGAATATCCCTTAATGTAACAAGCGGCACGTGATCATGCTCAACCTCTGATAGAGTTAAAATTCATCAAGATTATGGGTGAACAGACCTCCTAAGTAAAAATGAATCAAACAAACAGAAAGCATCCTGCATTTAGTAAAAATTAATGAGTTCTACCCATCTTAACTAATATGACCATTACACAATTCTCTATGGCATCAATACCGTCATTTACTCAAGTAAAAAGATATTTTTCCTTAGGGAAAAGATTAAGGGCCTGTTTGGTTTGACTTTAAGTCATTAACTTTTGGGTCATTAAATGTTAAAATATAGGCATCTCTAGGAATTTGAGGTGTTTGACAATTTAGATACGATTCACTCTCTAAAAAGAAAAGGGTGAAAGTGAAAAGCAGAAGCCTCGCCAAACACCCACAAATCTCTTTTTTTTGTCCAGGCCATAAGGGACAAGACAAGTTGATTGATGATTATATAATTGCAGACGTGTTGAAACCGGTGTAGCAGAATTCTAATCCGAGTGCTGAAGCAGCTGCAGTACTCCAGCAGAGGGCTAGACTAGTGCATGCCTGCAATCTTAAAACAGGGCCGTAGTAACAGCTGACCACATAAAAGAGATCAAACCTGTAACTGTCGATGGTGAAGGAAAGCAAGACCACGGCATGCGACCCCATTTCTCTGACAATCGTTCTTCATAACACCTGAATTATCCAAGGTAATTGAGGAGTTGACCTAAAATCTGCCAAAAGAAAACCTTTAAATTGCCATTTGCTTTGCTGACCTTTGGCACCCCAACACGTAGCGGTCCTCCTTAGGCACATAACGAAGTTTTGTGAAGGGCATCAAGACACCACGCCAAAGCCCTGCATGGACTTCGCAGATGATGTTGAGAAAGTTTAACCACATGCCAGTCTTCAAGAAACCAAGACCAAGATTTTTGTTGCCTTCACCCAGCACCACCATCAAGACACTCCCAACAGAGGGAAAGGTATAGAGTATGTCTCTAGGCAGTGGCTCTTTTTCCAATTGTAAAGGGAGTGGATTGTCCATCTCATCAGTCATCCTGTGTTTTGCAAAGGATGTAAAAAACTCTGGTCCAACAGCACAAAAAGAACAAATATCTTATGAGTGATTCCGACAACATTTGATGTCATTAAATCCGTTATTTTGCCCAATTATGTACAAAGTAAATGCCTCGAAACTAGATCACCGAGACTCGTTTACTCTCTTTCTTTATCAGTAATAACGAGCATATTAATTAAAGAAACTGTTCAAACACACAAAGAGATAAAAATGATGAGCATGTTACTCGATTTTTTTCTGGCCAGAAGGTTAAAAAAAACTGTCTGGCATTTTTATCTGTCTGTATAGAAAACTGAACCGAACTGCACATTTACATTTCTACCTCAGAGCTATCGTTATTCGATTCAGCCTCATTGCCAATAATCAAAACATTAATTTGTTTATTTCACAGCTAAGTTTCATGACAATCCGATCTCTCAAACTTCAATGAACGCATTGTAAAGGACTATATGGCCAATAATGGCAGAAAGGAAGGGAACAAAATCCAACATTACAGCTTACAGTTCATCTTCAACAAATGGCAGACAAACCACAACAGTCTACAAGGGAATAGCATCCCTCTATGGATGATGTTCCTCGGGGCACTTGGCTATCATTTAACCCCGCCGAACTATGAAGTTCAAGGTTTTTTACAAGTTTTGAAACTTCAACTTTTACCAACAAAAGTAAGAAGAAAAAATGAACAAAGTTGACTCACTTCGTCTGAATTTTTTTACTGGGGGCATCAGTTCCATCCCAGACAAAGATAATCCAATCCTTTTCTGCAACCTCGCATATGTGAAGAATCTGAAGAAGCAACAGATAAATAGAATGACAATCTTGAAATCACAGTATAATGACAAGTCCCTGAAATTTTCCAAGAAGCTACGGCAGTGGCACAAAATTACTGTAACTGACATTCTACACATATTAAATGTTGATGATGACAATGAGTTGAGGACAGGTTGGTCACCTTGCAAATTAGACTCAGGCGTTGACCCTCCTTGATCTCTCTCAAGAATTGGAAATTATTTGGATCTATGAAGCACATATAGAGTTGGAAGAACTGCTTTTAGAAAACAATCATCATGAACACAAAAGAACAAACTAAGATACATAGCTGAGAGATTACCTGTATTGAGCTGAAAACCAGTCAACCACTTTCTAAGGTCTGCTATGAACTTCTTATCCAGTTCTCTAGTTCGAAATCTTGCAGAAACTTGATAAGGAATGAAGTCTCCACCACTTATGCCCTCATATAAAGCAAATGAAGAGAATTTCTTATTGAAGAAAGCATATACTTCGCGTTCATGTGTTTTCATCTGCAGAAATAAAAGGAAAGGATCACGCTCTTTAAAATGGTTTAAAGAATTTCAGCAAAACCACTTTAACTCAACCTCAAAGACTATGTGTATGTCATGAATGAGGAGCTAAAAACATTGTCTCAGACTCGTAGAAGCAAGATACTTCTAGGCTAGATATTTAAGTTAACTCCCCAATTATTTCAATAGCATTCGAAGCAAGTAACTGTTGGAAATACCACAACATGAGAGAGCAGGATTATATCTCCTGGTGAGGCAACTACGGGAAGCTTCTCTACACTTTCAGCGAAGAAGTTGACTGAAATTCCAGGATCCGAATAGGATTCATCGGCTATTTTTAGCGAGATAAAGAAATCTGCAAAGAAATACGAATATGTCCGATAAAAAGACCTGGAAAAATACGGAAAACTTCCGGTGAAGAAATAGAAGAAAGTTTAGATTGATAACACGATCACATTGATCAGGATGCATGGACAAGAAAACTAATAAAACTATATAAGAACTTCATTCTGCGTGATGTCCAGTTCAAAAGAGTCTCGGTGCCACCATCGACTCATCAATGTTGAACACGGCGCACCGTTTGAATACGAAGCCGAACATCACACACTCGCAAGCCCATCAGAATTTGGTTTTTAAAAAAAAAAAGAGTTGGGTGCACCCTGAACATACGGAACTAGACACGTTACCTCATTTCCATCCGGGAAGTACGTAATATAATTGCTCCGACACATCTTCAAAGACCCTCTTTCCAAAATGCCAAATAGAGAGCAAGAAAGGAAGCCCATTCTTCCCATATCAAATTAAATCAAGGTAATAACTATAAAAAAAAAAGAACTGAGTTTAAATCAACTGCCCTTCCCCCCCTCCCCCCTCCCCGGCCAAACAGAACAAAACCAAAACCAAAGTAGAGCAGATCCATTCATGTCGCGGCGCGGCACGCAAGGTTCGCAGCATTACCACAGCTCAGATTCAGGTATAATGCACAAAAGCATGAAGAAAAAGAGGCTATCGGCAGGTGAAAGAAGGACTTAAAAAAAAACAGCGAGTTCCAGACAAAGAAGTGGCTCAGACGACAACCTTATACGAGATTTTATCATCAACCTACTACCGACCTCGCGGCAGCAGCCGTAAGTCCGGCCTTTTTTGTCATCATTGCCCAGGGACAAGAACATGCGAAACCTTCTCTCGATCTCGATCTCGATCTCGATCTCGATCTCGAAACTGCTGCGAAACGTGGACGAGAAGGAAAGAGGGAGAGAGAGAGGGAGATGTGTACCGGTGCCTTTGCTTTTCTTGGGGAGGCCGAGCTCGAGGACGACGCCGACCAAGTTCACTCTTTGGTTGAGGCAGGCGATGGCGTCCCTCAGCTTGAGGAACTTGTAATCGTCTCTCTCCTCCATCTCTCTCTTCCCTCTCTCTCTCTCTCTCTCCTGCAACTCCCACTGGGCTAAAACCCTAAAAATGAGGTTTGGATTGGCGCACAAAGTTCGCCTTTTTGAATTTTGGGGGTGGATGCTTTGAGGAGGAGGAGGTGGTGGTTTTCGTGGGTTTGTTTCGAAAAAATAATAAATAATAATTTAAAAAATATTTTATAAAAAATAAATTATTTTGTAATGTTTGAACTAATCGATTAGTGAAAAATATTTTCATTATTGACAATAGTTTATGTGTAAATATTTCGTGAAAGATACAAATATTTTTAGTTTAATTTTTTAAGCAATACAAACGGTATTTTTAATTTTTCAAACCGATCATTTTCTCTTAGTTTTTTGTTATACTTATGAATAGCTCACTTATCTCATGGGACTCTAAGCAAGACAATGTCAAATAGAATGAATGATCCACTGTGAGACTGATTAGCATTTATTTGATGGTATGAAAAAATCATTTTATTTGGAGTGATGAGTTCACGTTTATAATTTACGCATAAAAACTTATCCTTTTATTTAGTAAATCGGCTCATCAGGTCTTAATGCTATCTTCATATTTCTCTATCTTTCGAGAGATGCGTTGTTTACATTTGAGTGCTTTGTTAGAACGCGGCAAATTCCAAATTGGATACACGTACCTACATACGTGTATCCAACATAAACATGTACAAATAAAATGTATGGGCCTCTGGCGCTGGTCTAAATCAGCACAGTTAATCTGCTTCTGAAGTGCAATAGTCTTTGTATTCAGAGTCGTCGGTTCGAGTCGCTTACTCCGGATCGAGATAACCAGGCGTTCCGGATGGGCAAGTCGAAATATGAGAATCATGCTCTGTTACAAATGCCTTCGATAATCCAAAATCAGCAATCTTCGCTTGCATGTTTTCGTTTAGTAAAATATTGGGCGTCTTTAAATCTCTATGGACAATGGGAGGTTTGCAGCCATTATGCAGGTACTCCAACCCTGCACCACCAACAAAAAAGAAAAACTTAATGAAAATGAATTGTGTTGCTCAACTTGTGGATATGTGAGCAAAGATTACATTGATTTACTCTATGTACCTTGAGCTGCATCGATTGCGATTTGTAGTCTCTGGCTCCAACTCAAAACATTCGGGTTTTTTGCTGCTTGAAAGTAGAGAATCAAGGAGTATTCCAATCATGCAAGATGTAAAATCCTGTTCACCATCTTATTCATTCGCTAAAAGAGTTTATTTCATCTCCATGGTGCTATTAATGAATATATAACTTGACTGATTAATGCAAAAGCCCGAACTATCAAAGAACAGTGTTGAGATAAAATATACCTTGACACACGTTGTGCTGTCATATAGTGAGAGTTAAGTAATGCTTTATCTGGTTAGAATTTGGGGAAGGAAATATCAGACAAACCTGACAAATGTTGCTGCACATTTCCATTGGACATGTATTCGTAAATCAGTGCCATGTTTTCAAATTCTTCGCAAAATCCGATAAGTGAAACCAGATTTCTATGGTGAACGACCATAAGGAGTTGCGACTGCATATCAGGGTATTAGAGCTTGCCGTGAGTAGAACACCCAAAAAATCGAAAACACGACATACTGATTCTAGTTGCACAGATGTTTCGAACCTCTGTGTGAAACTCCTTATAGCCTTGCTTTGATGATCGCGATAACATTTTTACCGCCACTTCAGTGCCATCGTCAAGTTTGCCAAAGTAAACTTTCCCAAATCCTCCCTCTCCAATTACTGTTTCAAAGTTCTCAGTAATTCTTGTAACCTCAGTCGATGTAAATTGTCGATTTTTTGACAACCTTAATTTCCCAGTAGATCCTCCCGTAGAGTTGGTAGTCGTAGAAATAGTAGTAATATCTGGAGAAATGAAAAGGAAATTATATAATCTCTACAGAGTTAAGCGGATCATGATCTTCGGTCTGATAGCATATGATTTACTATAACGGACCCTTCTTGAAGATGTATGTAATGATTTAATCTAAGAATCGACCGTGCACTTATGATATTATTAACTAATGACGCGAGCATAGTTTTTTAACATGAAATTTTTTTCATTGTTGGCAACAATTTATACTTATTAATTTTTCAAACTGATCATTTTCTCTTAGTTTTTTTTTGTACTTATGAATAGCTCACTTATCTCATGGAACTCTAAGCAAGACATTGTCAAATAGAACGAATGATCCACTGTGAGACCGATTAGCATTTATTTGACGGTATGAAAAAATCATTTTATTTGGAGTGATGAGTTCACGTTTATAATTTACGCATAAAAACTTATCCTTTTATTTAGTAAATCGGCTCATCAGGTCTTAATGCTATCTTCATATTTCTCTATCTTTCGAGAGATGCGTTGTTTACATTTGAGTGCTTTGTTAGAACGCGGCAAATCCCAAATTGAAAAGGCGACATCCTCCGTTCCGATCAAACGAAAAGTTTGAGTAAAAAATTAAGAGAAATTGAGTTTTCTTTCTAGTGAAGGAGGAGGAAATTTTACGATTTTGAAGCATTTCCCATTGTAATTTTTTTTTTCTCCCTTTTGCTCTTGGGAGAGGCAATTGTTGGAGGGAGCTGGATCCATAGGTCAGACCTAACGTGTTGCCCGAACTTGCCTATCTCATGAAGTGTATACAGAACTTTTCAGGCCGGAATTTTTAATGCGAGACTTCTGCCCAAACCTGTCCATTTATCTCTCGGGCCGAGCCGATTGCCTCCGGTGTCGGGTATGACGCCTGCTCCTCTTTGACATCCTCCGTCATCCATTGGTATACTAAGGTTAATTTACAAATTTGGTATGTAAACGTAGGTAATGATGTTTTCTATTGAAAGCGCAAATGGCCATGACATCACTTAATATACTAATTTTATAGACTATTCTAATAGAGCTACCAAAATGATCAGTATGACTCCTTAGAACATCAGGCCAAAATATGCAGTAGCTACACCAACCTCTTTTACCGGAACGGAATGCTTGGCGGGCCATACAGCGTATAAGATCCCATTTGTCAACTTATAATCATATCTCTTCTTCTATTTTAACTCACAAAATTTGGGGAAACTACAAATTTACAAAACAAAATGAAAGTGAAAACTAATGCTCTTTCTGCATGCCGTATAAACGGAACGTAAGCAAACGGAAGCAGCTTGCTTGAGATCACGCCATCGAACTATTCCGACCGCCTTATTGAGATTTAGCTTAACGAGGGCTCCTCCATATTTGCTCGTCATACTCCGTCCTCGTTTCTTGGGGCCGCCCGTGGTTGCACTTTAGGCACGACGCGTTCCTTCTGAAATTCAAGTAGTCACACCTGTATAAAGCCATCAGCCATTCAGAAAAGGACATCGCGCAGCCATTCAGGCAGGAAATGGCGTGACACAAAAGGGCAGAGAAACTCACGAAGGACATTCCCACTCTCCATAATTTAACTTTCTTTTGGGACGAGGCTCCTGACAGCACAAGCATTTCTGTTTGCTTGCGAAGTTCATGAAACTGCACCTACAAACAGAGTAACACAAAAATTTACTTTCAGATAATAGCTAGAACAAGTCCACACAATCTCTTAATTCCATAAACGAGAAAGTTTTAAAGGGGGACGCAAGATCTGAAGAACTCACTCTGGGCAATTCCAGTCCCCCTGCTTCATTTCCACCTCATCGACACCAACCTTCTTTGGGCCCTGAGTTTTGCATTTTAGGCAACGTACATTTCTAGAAAAATTGACATAGTTACATCTGCAAAACATAATGTGAATGGGTGTCACTCTAGCTTTTGTATGCAGATGAATCTGAATTACTCCCATTTCATGTGATTAAGCAATCGATGCATCTGTGATCTCATAACATAAAACATGAAAGGCAGCATTAGAGAACTAATTCTACAACTATTCTTCAGCCATTATTGCTCATTTGCAGGGTATGAAAAGCATCCCGAGGAACGTATAAATGAAGCATCAAAACCAAATGGTTATTTCAAGAATAGAAAGAGTCAATGCATTTCATGCATAAGGTTGTAGGCAAGTCATTTAAAACCACTACATCTTCAAAATGGAACAAAAAGCTCAATCATGCCACAAGGGTATTCTGAAATTTGCAGCTTTTATATCAGCATTTTGTTTTTCTAGAATAATGATTCTCTTTCCAGAAACGCACAGCAAATCTAAGAAGATTCATTCATAGCCAATCTAAAAAGGTTTCCTTTTGCAGTCCGATCTAAATGCTTGATCAGATTACCTTCGCATTGACCCACTTGAGAGACTTTGAATACATTGCAGGAAATTATACTCTAACTGGACTTGAGATCAACTGCTCAACAGAGCAAGACAATGAATTTTCAGGAAATTTTCTTAGTCAAGAAAAATCCTCTAAAAATCTTGACAATATTAGGAAACTAAGCAACAATTTTCAGGACATACTTCCACAGAAAATGCATGCAATCCTTAGAATATCTTAAACAGTAAATGGCCTCATTCAAGATTGTTCTACCCATCTACATAAGCTTCAACCAAGAAGCAGAATCCAAGATCATAATCTAACAATACTAACAAAAAGAAGTTCATTCATTCCCAACTTGTGCTTGCCTATTTTTAGTCACTAAACTCATATTCGGATGTTCATTCATGTCCCAACCTGCGCTTGCCCATTTAAACATCTTTTAGTCGCTAAAATCCTGCACCTTATGTCTGTAATGCTTTTACCCCACGGGAAGCATAAAGAACTACAGTTCCCCTATTCTCACGGTAAAGCAACCTTGCACATCGATTAGAATCTCTAAGTCAGTGTCAAAGAAAATAAAAGTAAAGTGATGGAGTATTCACTCAGAAGCAAAGAATCTGTCAATAACAGGACAGCTCAAATGACAGATACAAACCATATAAATTAACTAGACTATGTTATAAATCAGATATCATTTTGATTAATGACCTACACAAGATAATAGGCCATAATCAACAAAATACACAGCAGAACAAACAGAAGGACTTACTCAGGGCAGATCCAATCTCCTTTCTTAACCTCGACATTACCCATGTCAACTTGTTTGGGGCCATCTTCCTTACATTTTAAGCATCGAATATTTTTAGCAAAGTTCAAGAAATTGCATCTGCCACAAAATGAATGCCATAAGTTCCTCGAGAGGCAAAAAACACAAGCAAGCAGTAGATCAAACAGAAAAAGAGGTAAGCAATGTACCAAAATCTTATCATCACATCTAACTAAAAATATTGCTGAAGCTAACACTATAAGGAAGAATTCTCAAAAGGTCCCCCTTGATAACTAGAAGAACAAAAGATACAGACATCAGATTTGGGAATAAAATGGAAAAGCCAAAGATTGCTGTAGGACTTTCTCAACTGGAAATTAAAGTTAGCTTCAGGCTAAATCAACGAGTCAAAAGTCAAAAACCTAATCACAAGCAATGGCTGGCCTACTATATTTCCCATGAAGTTGCTGATCCCCCAACACAAAAAAACAAAAAAGTGGAAATGTATGGTTCTTATAGAAGAAATTATGCTTATAAATTAAGATCAAATCTGATTGCTTGCCGACCAAAATTTTTAATCCTCGCAGAAGTCATGACACAAGTTCCTCAATATCTGGACAGTCTAAAGACTGAAATTATTTAGAGCAATCACTTGTGGTGCTGCTAATAGTTGATGGAGCAGTGTATTTTGTTGACAACAGAGCTTGCTCAGCCAAAGATTCATGAAGGACCATAGAAATATATGGCTCCACAAGTATATTGGCAATTGCCGGAAAGTAAATCACAAGGTCACATCGAATGAAAACATCTCAATGTGATGATATGCGAGTTTTAAATTTAGCCAGAAAAACTTAAACAAGAGGGAAAGATATGTGCAACATGACCAAGCAAAGAGAAAGATATTAGATCATAGGTTAGAAGTAAAATATGGAACTATAATACATTGACAAGAAGGTTATCTAGCAACGGCTTAATACAAAAAAAAAGGAGGAGCTTTGGTTCCGCTCATGCATCTCAGGCTCACTAGCAGACTAATTTGCAAGGGCTCAAACTTCAAGAAACAGAATCCACTTTATATCACAACTTTCAAAGGCATGGAAGCAGTGGGCTCTCGGCTTACTTATCAAACATAAGAGAAAACCTAGCCATAAACCAAGGAAAATATCAAGAAGGCTCTCACCAGTATCAGGAGCAATGTGTTCAGGACTTTCCCACAGACACTCAAAACACTGCTTAAATTTAGATGCACTGAGACACACAAATAAAGGAATCTGATAAAAATTCTATAAGTACTTGTTGACTCTATTAATCTCCATAGGAGCACAAAACATACCTAAAGCAAATACACTGTACTAATATCGATCTCCTAAACAGACTTACTTGGGACACATCCAGTCACCCCTCCTCATTTCCACATCTTGTGACAAATTATCGTCAACAAAATCAATTGATTGCTTTTCTGCACGCCGAGCTTTTGTAGCAGGTTTGGGGAGTTCTGGATCAGGGGATGTCTCACTCAGTTTAACTAACTGAGAAAGCAATTCCCTCGCAGATGATTCAACAAGGTCTCTCCCAGGAGGTTTCTGACCAGCTGAAAAAACAAGTGGATCTGTTGCATAGAATAACAATATCCGGACAATATCTACTGTGCGAGCAGCAGCTTCAGATTCCTTGAGTATCACATAAGCTCTATCACAAGAGCCTCGCAGGTTGCACGCACTGCAGACCTGCATCAAATCATCTCAGTCAAGATGAAGTAGCTTCCCATATGTAGGCAATCAAAATCTATAGAAATGCAACAAAAGTTAGAGTAGGACTTGAATATGAAAAATATATATAAACATACATCCCCTTCATCGAGTCGCACATAGACTCTCAACCTTTTCCCGGAGTTGACAGCCTTGCGAAGAAGATTGGGGCATCCATGCTCCACCACTGTTTGAATGTGTTGTAAAGACAACGATCTGCACCAATAACAACAAGATCATGACTCAAAATTGGGATGATTGTATTCAAGAACAGTTTCAACACAAATGTCAAATGCCACAAGTGGCTGCTGATGCCAGCCCGACAAATTGCTCAGCCTTGATAAGATTCTAACCGTAGTTTGGTCATACTTCTATCCCAAACAAATCAACAGCATTGTGCGCGAAGTTTGTGAGTCCGCACAATGATTCGAAACAATCATTCTTCTAGCAGACCTGAACCTCACACCAAATAAAAGCAGCCTCGATAGTTGCACAGTGATTGACTGTCGCACCAAAGTATTAAAGACCCTGCTCTGCACCGTGTTTGAATCTATAGACTATTCGCTCGTCTCCTTAATTTCAAAGCTTTAGAATTAGGCAAGTCAGAGCCTACATGTGAGGTCGTGCGATCGAGCGATTGAATATCAGAACAAGTAATCATCTATCAGCTTAAGCTTTCCAATTGCAATCATTGGTACCAAAATATGACACACCCTCAATTCTTGAGCCTCATTGAAAATGAGAGCAAGTCAAAGCCTATATGTGAGGTCGTGCGATCGAGCGATTGAATATCTGAACAAGTAATCATCTATCAGCTTAAGCTTTCCAAATGCAATCATTGGTACCAAAATATAACACACCCTCAATTCTTGAGCCCCATTGAAGATGAGAGCCGACAACTCATATCCGAATCCGATAATCTGATCACACGCACTACTTAAAAGACCTCCAGATGGAAAAAAATAACAACACCCACTTCTCCAAAAGAACCGAGGAAAAACCCCCCCCCGACAAACATAACGAGCGAAGAGCAGATAGGCCACGGTCCGCGTCTCCTTACTTGAAAACGTCGTATCTGTCGCGCGCGAAGCTGAGGCAAGGATCCTTCAACGAACCTACTTCCTTGTACAGCGCGCCGTCCTCGACGACGTCGCCTAGCTCCTTCCCAACCGGAACCTCGTCGCTCCCTTCGCCCGGAGGCGACCGCCCGGCGAGGTAGCCCTTGGCCTTAAGGCGGTCGACGAAGCTCACCCACTCGGGCCACGGGTGGTGGAGGAGGGGCGCCTGCGAGGCCACGGGCGCGGCGGCTTCGGCGGCGGCGGAGGCGGAGGAGCAGTAGCTGCGGAAGCGGAGCGGCCTGGGGAGGAGGAGGAGGGGAGGCGGAGGAGGGAGGGGAGCGCGGGGGCGGAAGAGGGCGGTGCCGAAGAGGAAGAGCTTGGAGGCGGACATTGTGCTGCGGTGGCTGACGGTGGCGAGGGAGGGAGGGGCTCTAGACGGTGTCCATGGATGGAGCTGAGCGGTGTGGTTCGAGAGGGGTTTTTGGGGGAAGACGAGAGAGGGTTTATGCACGCTGTAGCAATCATAAGATGAAAATGATTTCCTTTCTAAGGTATGCCTTTTCCTTCTCGACTCCCTAGTAAAAATATGTGTACCTAAGGTCAATTTCAGCGTCGGGCACTTAATTCGAATGTCGCGCGACCTTTGATGATACGAGATCTGGGTCATGGAGCCGATCGATGATCGGGGCTCCGATGAAGAAATTCGCCTTTAGGCTATACTCATAGAGAACGGATTAGGGTGTTTGGATTCGATATTTCCCTCCGATGCTTAAGTCGATAAGCGGTTGAGGAAGAGTGAGCTTGGTGACTAGAGCAAGGATGGCTTATACATTACTGGCCATGGAGGGCCGCCATTTATAGGTGAGCTTACCGTCGATGGCAGTTTCTTTGTATTGATGGAGAGCTTGCTATCGTCTTATCGAAGAAAAGGAATACAAAGTTCAAGTATCGTTGTTTCTATTGGCATCGCTATTGACCACGGCATGGCGGTCGTTGCATTTGAGCGACCACCATCGAATGGTCGTCTAAGATCGATTCTCCCTCTCTCTTCATCTCCAAGATTTTCTTTAGATCTAAGGCTGCGCAGCCACCATTGTTTTCCACTCCTCAAGCGACAATGGCCGTTGTATAGTGGTACAATCGCGGTGGTGGTAATCAACGTCAATATTAACTGTCCGTCACGACGACATTAATTCTAAATAACCTATTTTAGATTTTGTTGGGGTCCAATCCTAACCCAAATTCACCCGAATTCATAGACTTTGCACTCGGCTATATCAATCATTACAATATTTTTTGGAAGAAAAATATAGAATATGGACAATCCGACATATTTCTAACCTAATTTATCTTATCAGAAATTTTACCTCGACGACCAAACCCAATTTGAAAAGTTTTGCACTTGTGCACGTCAATTGTTTTTGACACTGATTTTTTAAGAATCTAATAGACATGGAAATGTAAATTTATAGTTAGGCACTGTACCTCAAATCTCAATTCTTATTAGTCTTGTATATTAATTTTTACAAGAAGATTTAATTATCTGGTCACGAATAACGTTAATGTACCTTAACATTAATTTGTGTAGCTTAACTTTTTTTGATAAGCATACAACATTCAAATAACTAAACCGGTGACCTGAACATTTCATTTTAATTTGATTAATCAAATCATAATCTTATAAAACACTATAGTTTCATCGTATTAAACATCATACAAATGCAGCATATATATATTTATATATATTTATCTTTTATTTTGACAAACATATATTAAAAAAGAGAAGTTTCTATCGATTTTTTATTTATTTATTGTCCCCATTTTTCGTCCCCCCTTGGCTGGTAAAAACCCCCCGGATCGTCGCCATAAACCCCCTCGAAGTCCTTCCCTTTTCTTCTCCTTCTTCTCCATATTCAACGCGCGAAGCCCGTGGAAGAGCCGCGAGATCCGCCGCGCCACGTCACTCCGCCGCAATGAGAAGGGCTTCCTCCGTCGCCCTCGCCGCCCCCTCCTCCTTCCTCTCCCGCGTCCTCGCCTCCCCCGCCGGCGGCTCCTCCGCCGCCTCCGTCCACCCCCACCGCCGCCACCGCCTCCTCCAGGCGGCTCTCTACGGCGGCGGCGGCGGCGGCGGCGGAGGCGGCGGAGGAGCCTATTCCCGGCGCGCCGGCGGCCGCTGGTTCTCCCGCCTGCTCGATTCGCCCCGGGCGGCCTCTCTCGGCATTGCCGGCGCTCTGTTCGCGACCTCCGCCGCGTCGGCTGCCCTGTCCGGCGAGGTCCTCGCGAAGGAGCCGCCGTCGCCCGAGGTGGTCCCGAAGGAGGTCGTGCTCTACCAATACGAAGCTTGCCCCTTCTGCAACAAAGTTAAAGGTGAGGTACCCTGCGTTGGCTTTGTTCGTTCGTTCTGTCTGGTGTTTGGGGGCGATGATGCGATCTCTGTCTATGTCGTTTTGAGTGATCTGGTGTAGTTGCGTGCTTTTGTTGTATTTTTCTTTCAAAGCTTCGATTGAGCTGAATTAGTTGAATTTTGAAGTGCTCCCGCCGGTGATAGTTTTGCGAGAGAGAGAGAGAGAAATTGTTTCGAATCTTGGCAAGATGCATCTGGAATTAAACAACTAGTCAGGGAAGTGGGCGAATTGTATAATTCAATTAGAAAGATGAAAAAGTTGGATACTGGAACCTTGTTTGGAAATTTCTGGTTATACGTTTGGTCAGATTTGATCTCCTAAAGGCGCTGCTGCATAATATGCCTGTTGGTAGTTGATTGTGAATGGAAAGGGTCGGTTCTGTTCTTATGCAGCCTCTTACTATTCATCTTTTACACCTCGGAAGCTTGAAAAATGGAGACGTGAGCCTTTTGTCTTTTAGCGCCAAATAATATGAAATTCGGGATCTTGCTTGTATTAATGGCTTATGGCCGCATAGATGGCACCCTTAAATCCTCTATCGGGTTTGGAAAATCACAAATTAGTGTCTCACCTATCGTAGCTTAGCCGTAATCATTGTATGTTGAGAGGTGGAATAGAAAAAAGTATTGATCTAGTGCATTTCTTGGTTAGTGACCTGTTACAATTATTTCTTGTTGCGACTATCAATTTAATCCAAGCAGGATGGTCTCACAGTCAATATTGTCCTCTTCTTCCATTTTTCTGTTCTTTTTCATATCGTACTTAGTTCAAGTTTCCTGTCAATTGCAGCATTTTTGGACTATTATGACATCCCCTACAAGGTTGTTGAAGTAAACCCAATTAGTAAGAAAGAGATAAAATGGTCCGATTACAAGAAGGTTCCTATACTGATGGTGGATGGCGAGCAGCTAGTTGACTCATCAGGTTCTGTGTTCCCCTTTTGTTGCTACAACCTATATTCGTGAATTTGTCTACCTTTAAATGCACAGTGAGAAAACTATGTTCATTGAGGATATTTTTCTATATTATTCAGCCCATAAGCCCCTTGTTACTTTTGAGTGCCATTGTGATCATACCTTAAATGAAAAATTTGAATCCTGCAGTTATCATTGACAAGCTGGGTCGAAAAATTCTTCCTGAAAAGTCAGCCAAACCAGCCACAGAAGATGATGACGATGAAGAGAAAAAGTGGCGGAGGTGGTCTCCTTTTTCTATAATATGACATGATGTGTTATTGTCGACGATACAGCTACACTCATAAAGTCCACCATGTCAATTGCAGACCGTAAAGAAATATTTACTTGTTAATACAAATTTGGGAAATCTCATATCTTTTGCAAGCCATCCAAATCGTGTGCATTAATTATTTACTTAGTATCAGCCAGATCAAATGGGGCTTCATCTGTGTGCCTTAAGCTATAGTGTAAGTCTAGAAACTTCCAATATCATGCGAAGAGTTGATGATTGTGCTTCAATTTGTTCTAACTACAGATGGGTTGACAATCACTTGGTGCATGTCTTATCACCAAACATCTACAGGAATACCTCCGAGGCTCTCGAGTCATTTGATTATATCACAAGCAATGGTAAGACATGCTTGTTATTTTGATGTGAAGTTACAACTGATATTTTGATTTACCTTCCTCGCCAAGATGATTGATAAGTTTGGCAGCAAAAGAAGATGATTGATAAGTTGTATGCTGCTCATCTGGTAGGATAGGAGGATATATTTTTTATTGCTTCACTAGGAGGGCAACGTATGCTTCTTCATCTCGTCTCTATAACAGCTCATGTGTACGACCCAGGAGAGTGTTTAGCAGCCAAGGCTACAGATAACAGTAATTGCTGGATAAGTAGAGCGAGTCATCAAACTGTTGTATGCAAGTTTCTATATGATTGACACCTAAGAGATTGTAGTTTATATGTGGAGATGAATGACGGAGCCAATTACATAAGTTTTCTTTGGCGTGATCTATCATTGGTATTTTTTATTATAGCTATTATAGATACAATTGAAATAGAATCCGTGGAGTAAAAGCCATGCCGATCTGGTCGCTGTCAAAGTATGCCATTTGTTTTGCTGTATGATATATAGCTTGGCTGTTTGATAATATATATCCTTTCAGTCGGTTTGATTGAAGGAATTCCATCTAGGGTTCTTGTCTATGATTAATATTGTTCAGGTGGAATTAACTCCTAATGATGTAGATAGATGGAAATGCATGATTTTGAAATGAGCTGTAAGCGTCATTGGATGATTGCAAAACTAATGCATTGGTACTTGCCTTTGGGATTGGCTTCATGGGTTTGTTTTACTCAAATATGGCCATGTACTTGGCTCAAATAAATAAAAAGTGGATTTGTTTATGTAATTCTCATCATAATGTGATCATAAATATGTAAAATGAAGCCATGAGCTTGGATTGGCTTATATTGCTGATTTATTTTGTCTTAGAAAGCTGGAACGTGATATACTGACATATTGCAGTGGAGTGATATATGTTATGTGCTTTGGCCTGCTGTGGTGATGTCACCTTTTAAGTTGTCAAATGTGTTCACTTTTGTTTCACATAATCATGCTGCATAACAGGAGAATTTATTTTTGAGGGAGTGTGAGGGGAAAAGGACTTAGTTATGTTGATTTGCTGATGAGGTGATTTGCTATCTTTCAAATCCAATTTGGTTGTTTTGGTGTTTGTAATGTCGAATGCTCAAAGTTCATTATATTGGTATTGCTTTAGAAAAATGTGCAAGGTGGGTGTTTAGTGTCATCCATCTATTTGCAATACTTTGGTCGATAATGTTTTTCAGTTTGTTGTAAGAATCTTTCTGTAGAACTGGCTGCGTTGGTGTCTAGATTTACACATTCTGTAATTCCAGGTAATTTCAGCTTCACTGAGAAAATTACGGTAAAATATGCTGGAGCTGCTGCAATGTACTTTGTATCCAAGAACTTAAAGAAGAAGTACAATATTACTGATGAACGTGCTGCCCTCTATGATGCTGCGGAGACATGGGTTGATGCCTTAAACGGCAGGGAGTTCTTGGGTATGCACTCTAGATATGGAATAGTTGCTTGAAACATGCTTCTTTTAATAATTATATCAGTCTTTTACTTATCTACTGACCTCTTTTGATAGATTGTGTATTACATATTTTCAATGCATGTGGTGTAGTCATTTTGCATTCTGCAAGGCTATTGTGAGGTAACTACCCCTCCCTGATAGAAGGGAAATTTTTGTGAAAGGAGGCAGATGTTGTGATTATACAGTTCTGGATCACCTTTGTCACACTCCACCTTGGATGGGCCACTGGCTTTTGCACTGATTGCTTTACTTGCATCACTGGTTTTATTTGTTCTGCACCTCACATAGGTAACCAACTCTAATGGATGAGCTGAATGTTCATCATCTACTGGGATAAGCTTTTGGGCCTAAAGTAAGTAGTGTATCATTTAATTTGTAAGAGAGCACGTATCAATATATTTAAGCCAAAATACCCTATTCTTACTCTAAAATTTCCCATTTTCCCTTCATTTGATTTCTACTCTAATATTGTAATGCAATTTAGTTTTAAAGAGAAAAACATAACATTGGCCAGAGAACAAGGATGCAATTATAACAGCAATAATTTAACTACAGCTTTCTACTAAAAAGTGCACCCGGTGAAATTCTGTAATTGTTCCTACAATGCAACAATCAATTTCATCTTCTTTCATTTTTTTCCTTCAATTTTTGAATAAATGTTCTATTAAGTTATTGAAAGAATAGTAAAATGTTCATTTAGTGTTTGCTTTCTAGAATAAAATTCATTTAGTGGTAAAAAACGAAAACAATGTCAAGTATTTTATTTGTCACCCAATGGAAGTTATTGACTTTATTATTGATTCATTACGACGTTGCATAAAATGAAATTATTGCATATGAGTGTGGCGCATGCATACAAACTAGTTTTTCTTTAAGCTGGGGTGGCTTCCTAGAAATGAATATGATAAGGTTCAAAATTACATATTTGTTAAGCTAGAAAAGTTAATAGATCAATTTCTTTGGTTTATTATGTTTATTTACTTTGGGCCTGTAGAGATGATGGACAGAGGTTCTGCCTTCTGACAAAGTACTAATAATAGCATCTCCACTGTGAGCTAACAGGATATGAGACAATTTGGTGTATAAGTGATGTCTCCCACCTACATTAAAAAGTTGGGCTGGGATGTAGGCAATAAAAGATATGCTCTCTTATTCTTGAAAGTTGTGGCAAATTCCTTTTTCGGGAGATTTAGGAAATGTTCATTAACTATCGATTCTCGAAGTGTGTACTTTTGGCATGATGCTTTGTGTTGCTGACCTTTTTAAGCATATTAGAGTGATAATGCTTGAGGTGAAAACCTTTTATGCGACTCATATAAAGCTTTTATTGATATAGCTGTTAGTTGAATGCTGGAGGAAAGTTTTAAATGCACGAAAGATTGTCTGTGATCATATGCACCTTGTTCATAATGGTGTCCGCACCTCTGTGGTCAAGATGTTTACTCATCATAATATCTGCTGTTTCAGGGGGCTCAAAGCCTAATTTGGCTGATCTTGCCGTCTTTGGTGTTTTAAGACCGATCCGTTATTTGAGATCTGGTAGGGATATGGTGGAGCACACTCGTATTGGTGAATGGTACTCAAGAATGGAGAGTGCTGTGGGAGAGTCCTCGAGGATTAAGGCTTAAACTGGAATCCTGGTAGATTCAGGAACACGCTTTCTGCTATTTAAACTAATGCTCGCTAATTGGTTCTGTATCCCAGTATGGCCAGCTGTAAAAAGAGACGAGTCCATAATATTCTTGATTTTTTACCTTCCAAGATTTATAATATTTGGTGGTAATGTCTTACCAAAAGTTTTGGGATTCTTTCATCATTGTTTCACCTTGTAATAATTTCCAACCGATATGAAGGAAAGGAGGAGTTTTATATACGTGATTATTCAGTACTGCTGAAACAATGGCCGTTTCTTGTGTATAAGCTGTTTATCTGGTTTGACTATTATTCTGCCAGGACCCAGGTGCTGCCCCTATTTATGTTATGAAAAATGAGAAGTTTGTTTCCTTTCTTCTGTTCTTGGACAATCCGCTAATTGTAACTCCCACGTTTTTGTTCCGGCACGTGGGTCCGGAGTTTGTAGCATTGACGGTCTGAGACATCATCGGCCGAGTTGGCGCCATGACTGGGCATTGTGGATAGACAAAGGTTGCAACGACTGGCGCTTGAATTGTGCTCGGAAGTGAAAATTTCCCTTTACTGGTGAAAATGTAGTACAACAGGAATTGCAGTTTAATAGACAGAGATTCAGGGAAGGTGCTAATTTTGTATCCCTCTATGTGCTACATCGGTTCATTTTCATCAGATGCTTAAAAAGACGTTAACGTAGGAATGTCATTTTCATCAGATGCTTAAAAAGACGTTAACGTAGGAATGTCGTAGCTGTGCCCCTATGTACCCCAAACTCATGCGTACAAGATACTAGCGTATTGACTTTGACAAAAGCCTACATATACGCAAGCAAATGGGACTTTGTACTTTCACCTAAATGATGCAACATACTAGATCCCAAGTAACAACAGACATGATACGATGAGGTTCCGGTTCGGTGGTGCTAAGGTGAGCTTGCGGTGCAGAGACCGTGAAGGGGGGAGCGTACCACACAGTGTCGAGTCTGTTGGCACCGTAACCAATGAAACGAGGATGTGCCCGCCTCCTTGAGGACGGCGACCGCGAGGAGGAAATATGTGAGATCGCGCTCGTTAATAGTAACAAGCCTGAGCGTGAGGAAATCAACACCGTTCCCTACATTTAGAAGGGCGATCAGATCAGCGGTCACGTCCAACAATGGCATGGCCTCACCAGTCTGCCAGGCTAGTCCACTCGGGTTCATTACGAAGGAGCCTCTTCCCGTGTGCCCCGAGGTGCTCAAGGAGCTCGGCATTGCCCCGCCGGACATAGTTTGATTGCGGGTCGAAATTCACCAATGTTCATGGCTTTTTTATTTTCGAGGGGAAAAAGCATTGACATTATTGGCAAGTGATTTTTTAGTGTAATGAAGGAACATAAAAATTTATGCATGTACTGAGGTGTTGAGAAGTTGATAAAATGCAGTGCTTGGTAATATGTTGTGGCCGAACAAATCTATGGGTTTGGACAGTTTCTCTACCCATAATTTGTAATAAAGAAAATTCTTGAGAAACCATCCCACGTTGCTCAAGCCATGATTGGGACATGCAAAAACTGAAGAAATTGTCCAAGCAGTTATAAATCTATTGAACGAATGCGAATTCAGTTTGAAATTTTCCAATTTTGTCAATTTAGTGGGAATTCTAATATAGTCTTTCCAGCTAATTTTCGTTGGACATCGCTGATGTGGCAGTGTGCCATGGAGGACGGCAACAATGATCCAACCACTACGTTAACGAATTCCGGCGAAAATTGATTAGAAGAATTACACTGAAATTTTGCGAAAATTTCAGGTCTAAATTGAAAAAAATTTGAAAAGTTTAGGGAAAATTTGATATCCATACAATATATTTAGGATTAAATAGATAATTTCCCTCGCAAAAACTATCAGCGTGAAGAATATATCTTCTTAAAACGCGAGAAATGCTCGTAAATCGTCCTATCCACGTTCTTGGGCAAGGCAGGTTTCACCCATAGAATGACCGCAACGACATTTTATGGGTGAAACCTTATCAGTGTGTTCTCTTCACTTGACAGATTTCTGCTAAATGCCCTATAATATAAAGGAGGACGATGCGAGTAGTCAAATGTCTGTTTCTATGATCAGCTGACCGTTCGGAAGATGCATCGCACCGGACAAGAAAAAACTCGAGTCGCAAGGTAATGCATACATGGTCCTCATAGGATTTAACTATTGCCAGCAAAAGAATCCAGAATCTTCACTTATGCAGGCACAAGATTGGATTTCTACAGCGAGTAACTAGCTCAACAAAGTATGAATCGTGTGCGCCTTTCATTTTATCAGCTAAGTCTAACCCCACAGAGCCGCCTAACATGCTGACATTGTCCCATCTAGCTAGTTCGAACCACTTAGATCAGCTAGCAATTACAGAAATCTTCTCTACTCTGCATATGGTACCAGTACAGTCGTACATATCATGAATACTAGGCTAATATGAGCGCAAGTTAATTCCTTGTTGGGAAAGACAGGGCACGACAGCGAACGGAAGGAGAAACGTGCACCACCGTTGCCAAGTTGTCTTGCAACAAGAACTGAGTCTAGCTCTAACGAGGCACAATCTGCTCAAGCTCCCACATGAGAAGCTAAAGCTACATTTCCCCTTCTATTACATAATCACATGTCCAACAGTATAAGTGCAAAGCAAGAGATTTAACAATGTCCTTTTCCTATCTAGAATTCATGATAGCTCGTTAATGTCGCCAAACCCAAAATCTTCATGTCGAGAGACATGAAAGAATGTCTGGTGTTGTGCTTCAAGCCCAGTTATATTAGGCACTACCATATGGTGGGAACCTGAGGCGTTCACAGATATGAGCAAAGTGTCTGTAGCAACATGTCGGCTTCTTCTTCAATCTGCATTCCGAAAAGAAGGTCCATATGTACCCGTTATTGTGCACATAAGTAGAATAACTCCAAAAATGTAACCCGTATTTTGAACAAATAAATTACCTCTTTTTGTATTTTCAAGGACTTATCCAGTTCAGCAACCTTATCAGCAATTGTGGATATCATAGACTTCTCCTTATCTCCTGTTATGAGCAGGTAATAGACTTAGTATGATAGCAGTAAAATATTAGGCGAGTTTGATTCAGTTCTAAAGGATCGAATATAATAGAAGATAATCTGAACTCACTTATTTGTTCATGTTGCATGAAGAGCCTTTCCTTTTCCTCCTCAAATTTGGACAAAATATCTATGGAATGGCGGTATGATGGGGAAAGGACATGGCCAACAAAACCAAATATGTAATCAGACTAGGCAAGAACATTCTATTGGGAAAAACTGGAAGAAAACCCAATCATGGTTCATCATGTATATTTCTTTAAGATGAAGGTGCGTATGTTACAAGCTAATTCATTAGGGAAATATACAGTTTATCAAGCATTCTCTCAAATTGTAGATGGTGTTTGCCTATAAACAATTTGGAACCAATAAAGTTACCATTTAAAGCCTGCAAATGGGCTTGATGATGAGAAGCTTTATCCTCACAAAACTTCTCATTAAGTTCATGGAACTTGGCAGTTGCATTCGTGATGCTACTTTCACACTGCACATCATCATCACATCAAGTGAAATTCTCTCTGAGCAAAAACCACGTCACCAAGGTATACCTTGTTCAATAGAATAGAAATATTACGATTTTAATCACTTACTTCTCCAAAACTCTGTTGAAGTAACTTCACTAAAGATTGACTACATAAAGAACATATTCATTAGATATAAACATTATACTGAAGCAAAGTTAAAAATTGCACGTATCTATTTGAATTTACCTATTCTTCTCATGTTCTGACTTCAATTCATCAACCTCTGACTTGATCTGAGACATCAAACTATCCCGCCAAGGACAAATAACAAGAAAGTAATAAATAAGAAATGATCACGATAAAATGACCATGGGAAACCACAAGACGAAAGATTTCAACATACCGATGCAAATAGAGTTTTTGTCGTTGAAATAGAACATGGATCGGCTTAATTAATTAAACAGCTCTATACGAATTGAACAAGTATAGTACGCCATGATTAAGCTAATATCAACATATAAGAAGCAGGTGGAGCCATTTAATCCTCAATCCAAGCATCTCTTTTGTCAAATGAAAGGTATAAAGAAGAAGGCCCAGCGATCATGCTCTCACATGATATCTAAAACCTAGAAGAAAATGAAGCAAAGGATTCAGTATTCCACGAACATTAATGTTATCAGCATACTTATTATCGAGTATTCAACTAATGCAGTCTGATTCAGACTGCCAAGGGAAAGACAGGAACAAGGGTTCCGAACATCGATAGGTAAAATCTCAAGAGCACGGTCAATACAGAGCAACGCAAACTCGATGTCTATTGAAAGGTAGATTGATTCAACACTCGAACTCTTCAGCCTAATCAGTAAAAAATTTCCCGCGCTCACCGACTAAGATAATGAATCAACATGCATTCAACTTTACCAGTCACTTCATATCGACAACACTAATAAACTTTGATCCGCTAGTAAATTAAAATCAACTAGACATTGGTAAATCCCAATGTAGTTACTTAACTCGACGAGTTTTACAGAAGTTTCACATCGACGATACCAGTAAACTTCGATACGCAGGGTTCAAATTCAAATCTCAACTGGTCAAAGCTAGTTTCATTGATGAAAGCTACCCTGGGACAAGCAACTCTAACCTAGTAGATTCAGAGACTACATGTGCCAATAGCCACCAAATGTTTGAGCGAGAGACGATAGGATTTGGGTAGAAGCTTAAGCTGTCAGATAAATGCGTATATTAATATTTAAATATTCTATCATGAAAGCATGACGTAATATTTTAAATATTCTAACACATCCCATTCACATGAATGCGCTTTATTCTAACCCTAAAGAGCGGAAATATGTAATAATTCTAATTGGGGAGGCCCCTGCTACAAGGCACTGTCACAAATCGCAACCTATCGGAAGAAAAATCGGGGAAAAACAAATTGAATCACCTCGATATGGTCTCATCGTTCTTCTTTTTGAACTTCCGATTTTCCTGTGCCATGGAATTTAACCGGTTCATACGGCTGCAACATTTCAAACTTTTTCGGCGTCGGTCGGATTTCTCAAATCAAAGAGCGCAAAAAACAGGGGAGATCACTTCAGAGCTTACGCATAAAGCCCGGAGAGATAGGCATTCAGTTCGTCTGCCTTCCTCTTCTTCATCTCTTGGGAGAGAGAGAGCGAGCTTGTGAATCGCAAAGCTTCTGGGTGGGGAGGAAGGAAAGGGCTCTTGGGCTGGCTCGCTCGGCTCTGTTCAGAGGGGTTTCGGATGGCGGAGAGCGTGTCCAAATTTTCGTTTTTTTGCGGGAGATTGGGCGGTATATATTGACAGTTTTACTCTATTTTCTGAATTTTAAAATTAGGGCAGCGCTATTTCCGATTAAATTCATCCAAAGTCAAGAAAAACAAAATTATCCCCGATCATTCAATTGCAATTTAAAGTCGTCGCCTTGTATTTATTTCCGCTTCTTCTTCTTCTTCTTTTTAGTTTTTTTTAATGGTTAATACCACGAAAAACCCCAAACTGGTACACCCTGTGACAAACTTACCTAAAACTAATTTTTTAATCACCAAAAATCCCAAACTGGTACACTTGTGACAATTTTATCCTAAGTTAGTTTTTATTAAATTTTACTATCAAATTTCTGAATTGGAGTTAGTTTTTATTAAATTTTACTGTCAAATTTCTGAATTGGAGGACACCTAATATACTAGTTTGGAGTTTTACTTTCCGTTTGTCATAGATATACCAGCTTGTGATTTTTCGTGGTATTTTTTCAATCTAACAAAGGGTATATTTATCACAAATATATCAGTTTGAGATTTTTAGTGATAAAAAAATTATTTTTGGTAAATTTGTCGTAGGTGGACCGGTTTGGAGTTTTTGGTGGTCAAAAAATTAGTTTAGGATAAATTTGTCATTAACATACCAGTTTGAGGTTTTTCGTGATATTAACCCTTTTTTTAACGACTCCAAGTGTCTTGTTTTTGTTTATCGTGGGTGTCCATCTTTTTTATTATTCCATAGGAGTTAGTTTTGTGGAAAAAAGAAAATTTTTCAAGAAACTTAATTCTTTTCTGCATTGTTAGGCAAATTTATGGATTAATAGTCAAGTGTAATCAAAATTTTTTTTAACATGAATAATTTTTTTAACACAATCACTTGTTTATAAGCTTTTACTTTCATCTTTAAAGATTTTCCAAAATAACATCACATGTTGCATTCTTGAATGTGAAACTTTAAATGACGAAATTTAATCATATTAAGATAAAACATGAAATGTTTAAAGATGCCGGTAAAATCTCACCATTTTATATTGACAAATATTAGTACCATCCATGTAGCGTTTACCAAAAAGTATAAAGATGCCTCCTCGTGCATAATTTTTCATGTCGATGTTTTTAGTGTATTTTTAATTACTTTTATAGCGTTTTACATGATTCTCATAATTATCTCGCAGTATTAAGGACAATAGAAAATTTCTTTGATATACTAAATAAAGAGATTTGATATATATTGTAAACTAATGAAATTTAAAAACATAAACTTACTAGTCACACTTCTTCATGATTGCCCTTATAACAATTTATCTATTCTTCATCTTTTTTATCTCAAAAACTCACTTTCTTGCTAAACATTTTATTTTCTTTTTTAATTGGACTAAATTATATGTCAAGTTTCTTTATTTACTATATCAAAGAATTTGTCCTTTTTCTTTAATATCGGTGAGACACTTTTGCGTGGAGTGTGTAGGCATTATATGAATATCTAAGAATACGCTAAAAATGTCAACATCTTCCGATTTTTATTTTTGGGATAAGTATACCGAAAGTCCTAAAACTTAGCATAAAAGTGTAATGAAGTTGCACAACTTTTAAAAAGTGCAATCAAGTCATAAAATTTATCACGAAAGTGCAATTGGGTCCTAAAACTTTTAAAAAGTACAATCAACAAAAGGATTTAATTGGACCAATTTGATAAATTTTAGAATTTGATTGTACTTTTTTAAGGTTTGAGGACTCAATTGCACTTTGTTACAAGTTTAGGACTAAGTTTTAGGACTCAATTGCACAAGTTTTGACATTGTCACCCTTGAGTAAAGCTGGTTAGGCTCACGCTCGCCACATAAGTCTAAAGTCGGTGACGTGGTGGTTACAAACTACCGAATATATTCTCCGACTAGAGGAAGAGAGTGTGCTCGTGTTAGGGTAGAGAGAAGGCACGAGAGAGAAGTGTAAGAGCAAAGATTCTTTGTTTGGTTCGTATTTACATGTGAGTCCTTGTCCCGTGGTGGTCTTGAGTTCCGTTCTGAGTTTCTCTTTTCCTTAAGGGTTAATATTACGAAAAACTCTAAACTGGTACACCTGTGATAAATTTATCTTAAACTAATTTTTGGATGATCAAAAACCCCAAACCGGTACACTTGTAACATATTTTCCCTCTATTATCTTCTGTCAAATTTTAACGCGAAATTATTGAGCGGGATGGCACATAGCAAAGCTCAATTAACATGGCAAGTTCATATGGAAATCAATATCACTTTAGGGTAAATTTGTCATAGGTATACATGTTTGGAGTTTTTCGTGACTTAAAAATTAGTTTGTGGTAAATTTATCACAGGTGTACCAGTTTTGGATTTTTTGTGGCCCAAAAATTAGTTTGGGGTAAATCTGTCACAAGTGTATCGGTTTGGGTTTTTCGTGGTATTAATCCATTCTTTAAACCCAAGTTGATTGTCAAAGACCGTAAAAAAAAATTTGTGAACTCAAAAAAATTGGGAAAAGTATAAAAAAATGGGTTAATACCAATTCAGTCCTAAACCTATTGTATTGATACCAATTTAGTCCTAAACCTTTCAATTGGACTAATTTAATCCTAAACATTTTTATATTAATATCAATTCAGTCCATCTAGCCAGTTTAGGCCGAAAATTATTGACGTGTATACCGATCGTCCTACGTGGTACGGCCAGTGCTGACGTGGACTTTTTAAATAATATTTTAATATCATTTAAAATATTAAATAATATTACATATTATTTCGCCACAAGCCAAAGAAGAAGGAGAAATGAAGAAAAAAGGAAAGGAAAAAAAAAGAAGGGAAATTTTTTATAAAAAAAATTATTAAAAATGTACATGTCAGTGATTTCCGGCCGTGCTTGAATTGATACCAATGTGAAAATATTTATGACTAAATTGATCCAATTGAAAGGTTTATAACTGAATATTTACCAATGTAATAGGTTTATGACTTTTTTAGTACTTTTCCCAAAAAAAAACCTTTTCCTTTTTTTACTCGAGAGAATTGTTCTTCCACGTACCAACGTCGCTGCATTGGTTTTACCTTCAACATGTGCGCGTGTTTGTGTTTTTTTCTTCTAAGTTTATAAATAGCGCCTTAGAACAAATGTTATGTCACGACTCGTTAAATATAATTGCATTATGAAGACCTTTTTCGAAGGTGTATTACAGGGTTGATCCGTTTCTAGGACCCCGGCCTAGAAGCTGAGAATTGGCCCTGTGACTTCTGGTGAGCTCGGCATGATTAATTTAGCGTACAGGAATGGAAGAAGAAGAGTACCTTCATAGATATCTTTGGTGTTAAACGACAAATTCTTGCCAGAATTGGAGGTATTTAAGGACAGTTCGATCAAGGGTGCTATCCTTTTCTTCTGAAACTTGGGCACAGTCGCTTGAAGATAGGAACACTCAATTTCTTCCACGCAATGGTAATTGGTAACTGTTTGAAAAAGACGGAGTCACAGTTTAACTTTGAAAAACGATGACGGAAGCTGGCTTCATGAGCAGGAACGACTGAAAAGTCTGGTTGTCTCCTATTTCTAGAGTTTGTACAGAGCAGTAGGGCGAAGGGCTTTCTCGGCTTAATGGCTAGATCGATTTAGCAATTTATCCTCAGATGAGCTTCAAGGTCTGTCAAGGCATCTGGGTAGGGATAAATTGCACTGTTTGGAATGGGGCCCCTTTAGAACGCCAGGAACTTGATGTATTTCATCGACATCCAGTGGGCAACTGTGAGCAATTCGATGATCTTGACATTGAAAAACTTTGGCTTGGTGCCGATAATTTGGAAATGGTGACTTTCCTGAAAGGTTGTAGTAATTCCGGCCTCAAAATAATGACTAAGATTATCATAAATCTGGCGGTGAATGGTCCTTGCCGGATGGTTGAGATTCCCCAATGGAGAATTCAGTACGGGAGTTTCACATGATGGTGGAGCTCGGGATAACAAGACCGAATCAACCGCTGGATTGAAAAGAAGTGGATCAATCAATCAGAAGGAGGATGATTCTTTACGAACGAAACAAAGATATGAATGGGTCGATTTGCCTCTAGATGCAAGGCCTTTCGTTGGTTTTTATGAATAAGAAAAGTGGAGCTCATGGGAGTGTAGTCTCTCAGGCAACAGATGAATATCCTTCTGAATCCTGTCAGGCGATTTCACTCATAAATTTGCTAGGCGTTCGTCTCAGGAAGTCAGGATGCATCTGTGCCTCTTTTACTTATCTGCATCTCTGCTTGGGTATTGTCACTGACCAAAGCATCCTGAGAGTCTACAAACCTAATATTTTCCGGTACACTACCCGGGAAAGAGATTCAGTTCAGGATGATGTGCCTCTCTTTATGTGCCCATTATCTCTTATTGGGTATTGTTAATGACCAGAGCATCATTTTAACCGAAGAAAGAGAAGTTAACTGAGTGCCATTGCTTGAGTGCCATTGCTTCAAGACCTGCAGACCACACCTGATGTTCTTGGTAAATCTCCGGAGAAAGCTATGGCGTGTTTGACGTGCTGATGCTGAACCAAAGATCAGGTGTCCATGAAATGGATCTGTCAGTCGGATTTGTGATCGATACACTACTGTCAGCTGCATCTAGTAAAATGCAAAACTTTGTAATTAGATATGAGTAATTGGGTCTGTGAATACATGTAGAAACTATGCATATGATGCACAGTGATGCGTAGCATCTCTCGTCTAGCTTTTCACTTCAGAGTTCTCATATGGCGAGGACTATGTTTCAATCGTTTTTCACTGTGCTTCAATACTCTCCAACCGGTAATATCTGTTTGTTGTCATCTTTATAACTCTTTTTCTTAATAGTTATATGGAGAATATATTCTTCTTGTTCATTCTCTTAGGCATGGAGAATGGAGATATGAGTACTTCCTTGATTGTGCTTTTAAGTGGACAAGGCTCATG